CAATAACTATTCCAACTAAAATTAGTTTTCTTTTTTGAACGATGAAAAATTGTAAAATTGAAAAATAATTATAATAATACTACAATTACTACTTAAACCCTTAAGAAGGTAAGAGTTATTGGTGTACTTTTATCGGGGCCGTTAATGCTGCAGGTGCTCCAGCTAAAATTTAGTTGAGTGGTGCAATCGCCATAAATAGGGAGCTTTAAAGTCCTTTAAACTTGGGTGGTCCAAACCTCCCCACCCCTTTTTTAAACTAAACACGGATGGGCGGGAATCCTGAGTAGACTCCTGCTGGAGGTTTATTTAGGAATAAATGAAGAAATTGGGTTATGGGTTATACTAGAAAAATAGGATGATCGTTTCTTTTGGTGGCTGAGTTATGGGCAATTAAGGATGATCTCAAACTTGCTATTGATAGAAATATATCTCATTTAACTGTGGAGTCTGATTCTACTACTGCAATTTTTTTATTTTCTGAAGACCCCTCTGAATGTCATCCCCTCAGTACTCTTATTCTTGACTGCAGGAACTGTTACAACAAATACCTCATATTACGGTTGCCCACGTGGTACGAGAAGCAAACATGGCAGCGGATGCCATGGCTAAAGTGGGACACAACATTCTGGAGGATTTTGTTATGTTTTATTGTATCCCTCATTCGGTCAAATATGCATGTATGGCTGATATTTTGAGAATTGAATTTCCCAGATCCGCTTGATGTACTCATGCTTGCTATGTTATAATACTTCTCTTTTCTACCAAAAAAACTTTGAAGGTACCAACCGGGTCCCATCACGTGGCTTTGTCCTGGTGCGTGGGACTCTTGGGTCAGCGTTGTTTAATTTTTATCACTGTTGAACACGCTGTGGCAGATAACTTTCAAGAGGAATGCTAGCTGCACTCGCCTTTCTCCAGCACTCTCCAACACTCTCTCATGTGAAATGTCCACGTAACAAATTTTGGCTCGCAATTCAAAGTTTCCCACTAAAAAAGTTCACGTGGCTATTTTAGATGAGGGAGTGTTGGAGAGTGCAGGAGAAAGGCGAGTGCAGCTAGCATTCCTCTAACTTTCAATGGTCCAATGCTTTAAATTAGTTTTCAACTCATTTAATTAACTTTTATTAACGCATTTTTCCCTTGGTTTTCCCTTTTTTTCATAAACTTCTGCATTTCTCCAATTACATCATAGTCTCTCGAGAACTGAGTAAAGGTCCAAATAAGGACTTGAACTTTGTAAGTTTTTCTATTTAAAGATGTAAACTTTCTCAGTTTCTAAATAAGGCAGTTAACTTTCAATTTTTTTCTAATTAAGGATGTCAACTTTGGTTTTTTTCTATTTAAGGATTAATTGATGGAGCTGCTGACGTGGCAAACGAATTTTAAACGGATGTTTTAAACGGAATGCTGATGTGTATAGATATAATGTTAATTTGGTGATGTGTTTGTTGATTGGACAAAAAAATTAATTAAGTAAAAAACAAATCAGATTAATGGGGCAATTTATTCAAACAAATTTTCTATTTACAAAAAGAAAACAAATCAGATCTGGAAATTGCTCATCTCTCATTTTTTTTCTTTTTCTGCGCTGTTGCTCTCTCTTCTTCTTCTTCTTCTCTGTTTTCATCTCAAATCATGAATGAAAAACAGATTTTTCTCATTTTTTTTCTGCGCTGCTGCTGCTCTCTTCTTCTTCTTCTTCTTCTTCTTCTTCTCTGTTTTCATCTCAAATCACGAATGAAAAACAGATCTTTTTGAGTATTTTTTTTCTATGCCGCTGCTCTCTCTTCTTCTTCTTTGTTTTCATCTCAGATCTGGTTTCAAATCACGAACAGAAAACACATCTCATGGGTTTGGAGACAAAAATGTCAAGCTGCAGTTCATCCTTTGCCCGCTTGAGTGGTAGATCCGGTCGACTCTTATGGCCTGCCCTCTTTTTGATAAATGGTAAAATAGATGTTTAATTTTCCATTGGTGGGTTGCTTTCTCGACTTTTCTCGACTTTTTGCATCTGGGGTTTGTAATGGAATTTTCTCAATTTTTCTCCCTTTTTTGCTTCTGGGTTTTGACAAAAGGTTCTTGCTCTTACCTGTTTTTTCTTTGTGCCAATTTGATGGTCCGTGAAAAATGGTATTTTAGGGATTTCAAGGGAAGAGGAAGTGCAAATTTTGGGTGTGGATTGTTAATCCAATGGAGCCTTATCTTTTGTTAATATACTGAATTCAGTGAAATAAAAAGGAAAGGTTGAATGAGTAGTTGATTAGTGAATTGAGGGCTAAATTGGATATTGAGAAAATGAAATTAAAAGAGCTTAATGATTGTATTTTTGGTCCAGTCAGTAAATACATCAGCATTCCATTTAAAACATCCGTTTAAAATTCGTTTGCCACGTCAGCATCTCCATCAATTAATCTTTAAATAGAAAAAAACCAAAGTTGACATCCTTAATTAGAAAAAAATTAAAAGTTAACCACCTTATTTAGAAACTGAAAAAGTTTACAACCTTAAATAGAAAAACTTACAAAGTTCAAGTCCTTATTTGAACCTTTACTCCTCGAGAACTAGTTCAACTTTTGGGTGCGATTATGTAAACA